TTAAACAGATTTAGGGGGTCGTCTGAATTGAAACAGCAGTTAATTGAACCTGGTTCTTCGGGGAGTTAATAGAGGTGAGATCTTGCTGACGTTGGTGGATCTGAGCCAAGCAGTAAACTTACATAGACTCAATAACTTCGGTTAGGTTAATTAGTAGTTAATTTGCCGGAATAAATTATCAGCTCCTCCCGACTCTTACAATATACATGTGGAAATACAACTTTCCAGTAACAAATATAATGCAGATAGATCACATATATAAAGATATAATGTGAAATGATGTGTAAAGTAATATCATGAGTACATACTTGTGCCTGTGCGGGTATTTAGCGTCCCATCTCTGGCAGATCTTTCCTGTTTTTGATTGGCTTTTTGTTCCTCTGTAATCTGTTCCTATTCCATTAACACACTCCTGGAGGTATACTGCACGAGACAGAAACAACAGTACACAATCTGATCAGCTTATTTTCAGACAGGTTTTTATATAAATGGATCAGGACAAAAAGAGAGAGAATCTTTGTTCCTGAAACTTCCAGAGTCTCTTTACACAGAGGGGACACATGTTGATGTAGAAGAGACATGAAGAAGAGGGGACACATGTTGATGTAGAAGAGACATGAAGAAGAGGGGACACATGTTGATGTAGAAGAGACATGAAGAAGAGGGGACACATGTTGATGTAGAAGAGACATGAACAAGTGGATTTTGCATAAAAGGTACACTGCACATACCTACTGTACAAATAAACATACAGTGTATATACATTCCTAAAGGAAGTGATATTAAAAGATACATTTTTATACATTATAAAGTTGAGTCATCGAACATTGTGCCGGGAAAACCCAGTGTTTACTAATTGGACTGAAATGTCCAATATTGTGATGACGTTGAGTCATAGAAAGCAAATACACAACACAGTCAGAGCAGAAAACAAGTCACAGTATCTTAAAGTCAAATTATCAAGGAAAGTACATTGAATGTGTATTAGGGCTGCACGATATTTGAAAAAACTGACATTGCAATATTTGTTTCCCCTGCGATATATATATTGCGATATGAAAAAATACAGGAATTGAAGAAAAGACAGTTTTGTTTTACCACAAATCATCCTTTCTTGAACTTTAATGATATACAATTGGTATTTTTCTAACTATATTGAACCGGATGAAGGATTTTAGTCACGGACGTCTGGATCTTCAGTTATCAGAGCAACAAGCTGAGCTAGCTCGGTTAGCAGCGCCGAACTGCCCTGGAGAAACACATGAAACTACTTTATTCAGTGTTTTTACCTTTAATCACCGGCTCCGTTTGCTTTGGAGATTTGATTGTGATTGGTGGTTTGCTGTGCATGCAGAGCCTGCATGCACAGCAAACCACCAATCACAATCAAATCAGCAGAGCCTGCATGTCACTCACTCAAGTACCCCTGACATGAGAGCAGCGCGAGTTTTCCTTTTGTAGCAAGCAGCAAAATAATTGTAACATGAGGTGTTTGAGTTCATTTGCCTACTTAAAGGTGGGGTAGGTAATTCACTTCAGATACACTTTTTGTTATATTCCATGGAATGCTCTTAACATCCCGATAGCAATGAATACATTAAATGCTTTGACAATAAATACATACAAAAATGTCATCTGTGGAAGCCGTAGCGCTGTAAAAAGCACGACCAATCATTTTAGCCGGCCCGGCTAAAATAACTTATAATCAACATGATATATATCGTGCAGCCCTAATGTGTAATAACTGCAGTATTTGAGTTTAATTCCATGACTGTGTGTAGGAAACACATTAATCAAAGTAGACATATCCCATTCAGGAAAACCACATTACATTACATTACATGTCGTTTGTTAGACGCTTTTATCCAAAGCGACTTACATACATTCAGTACTGTGGACAATCCCCACAGGAGCAATTTGGGGTCCAGTGTCTTGCGCAGGGACACAACGACATGCTGACTGCAGTGGGACTCAAACTTGTTATCCCCTGATTCGAAGTCCAGCACACTATCAGTATAAACTGAGCCACAGCCTCCCCCACATGATTAAATAATCGTATATATTATAACAATATTATCATATATTATGTACATGTAGATGCAACAATCTGGTGCATCTCATTTGAAGGACATGAGCCACTGTTGTCCTCTCAATATCTATAATTGTAATGATTTAGTCCTGAATGTCAAAGATTTACCAGTTAAAATGAAACCAAATCTTCTAAAACCAACATAAAAATTCCTTATTTAGATATTGTTGTCCAGTGGTTGAGCTCATTGATCACAATTCCAGATTTAATTTGAAAATAAATGCGATTGTTTTCGAGAATTTGGTAATTGTTGATGTTCAAACTGTCAGGTATTTTAATGAGATTTCTGAGATGTAATTAAAAAATGTGTGATTTTACAATTATTAGATCAACTCTGGGTCCACATGAATGACAGTATTTGCCTTTGTGTCACTAATTTATAGGTACATTAAAGCAAAAAAAAACACATTTATTTAGTGCTTCTCACAGACATTACGTTTTTTAGATCATTTTCAAACTGTTTTTTCTTCCCATTCCTTGAAAACTAGGTAAATATAATGTGTCAAAGTGAACAAATGATCTTTAATCATTGATCTTTTCAAGATTTGTCTCTTACTAGATTCGAGATTCTCATCCAAATCAAAAATAATTACAGCGTATTTTTGCCAATGATAATCTTAATTCCCAGGGTCCTCAGACATAGCATCATACAACATACTTAAAACTAAACATAATGGTGCAAGGGACAAAAAAGGTGCAAGTAAAATGCAAAATAATTCTTGATTAAATTATAAAAATAGTATTAAAAGACACATTTAATCAACTTGGACACATTTTCCTAATGAGTTCATCTCAAATAGGGCAAAATATCATCTTATTGTCTGTTTTTTTACATATATAACAGCATTTATATCGTTTTTTAACCTTAATTATCATTCAAAGATGCCTTTATATCTTACCAGTGCAGATCAGGGTTGCCAGGAGGAAAGCCACTTTACACAGGTCCATGTTGAGGCCTTTTTATTCTAGCAGCTCATATTCGACGAAGTCACCGAGGTTCCTCCTGGTGTGTTATTGGGCTCTCTTCAGGATGTCCTTTTAAATAAATAGGACAGTTTAATCGCTAGTCAATCATTGGCCCGACAAGGACGGCAAAAGAGGTCAAAAACCTTCTTAAACGTAGATTTTTACAGCACTAAATGTTGCATATAAACCACATCCATCCTATATTTATTAGGATAAACAAATGTAACATGTTTTTTAATACTTACCCAAAGCTGTGGGGGAAACTTCTGTGTAGCAATGCAGGAGGAGTCACCGACTCAAAGGAGACACAGGGAGAGCTGGAGCTTTGATGGCAAACACTGATGGGTTTATTTAGGAGCTTCGGCCGGAGAATTCACAAAACAAGTCAAAGAGTCAGAGGTTCTGACTTCACGGTAGAGTTGCCACGTCAATTCTGAAGAACTCTACCCCAGACCCGTGTATTTAGCTAGTTCAGAGAGAATAATCAACATTGAGCATAACAAGATAGAATCATAACACCTCTATCAGCTGACGCCAACAGCAGGAACAGGGAGACAGAACACTGAGAGCACAGCAGCCAAGATTACAGGTGCCTGTGCTCAGTCAGGGCAGTATGAACTGATAAACTGGGTCACAGTTATGGGCCTTGGAAAATATTTCCCCAACAAAAGCTAATCTGTTTATTTTCTTCAGCTACAAAAGATTTTAGGAGATGAGCTTTTGATTTTTTGTGACCTTTTATTTCTTCTCACAATGCCAATTTTCTCTCTGTCACTTTACTGGAATTTGTGTCAAACCTAAGCATGTCCTTTGCTACGCTAATACTTCCATTATAACATAAACGGTTGCCTGTTGTTAGTATTCTTTTATTTTTTTATTGATCTGTCTTTGTTTCCCGTTTGACTTTGAAAGGTGTTAACCCCCTGTCTCATGTCTGCCTTTGCTTCCTGTCTGTGTTTTCCCTCCTGTCTGATTGTCTGATTGTGTTCACCTGTTGCCCCTGTGTTTCACCTCCCCTCTCCAGCTGTGTCTTGTCTTGTGATAACCCTTGTGTATTTAGTCTTGCTTGCCCTTGGCCGTTTCTCAATCGCGAGGATGCTTGCTTGGTAGCACATGTCTTCCGAGTCACTTCCTTCAGAAGCTAGGCAAGAATCCTTCCTGGCATTCGGAAAACGAAGAGTGGAACAGGCTAGCAAGTGTGCAGATGTGCGTCATATGAGAGGCCCCGCCTTACATTTTCCGCCACAGATTTGGGGAAATTGGTCCGTGCGCAAAGCATTGTGGGGATTTTAAGGACGCGAAGTCTACCCATGTGCAGCCTCGAAATTTCCCCCAAACCAAGGACGCGGCCTCGGTGGAATTCCAAGTATGCTGGAGATTGGAACAGTCCTTCGGCGGCACTCGATGACGTAGCATCCTTGAAATATTGGCTTGGAAGCCAGTTTCCTCGAGATTGAGAAACGGCCCTTGTGTCCCTTGTCAGTTTGTCGTTGTTTAATGGTGGTTTGTCTTAAAGGGACAGGAGTCATGTTTATCTGCTCTCCCATTGGACGGCACGTCTCATAAAGGGACAGGAGTCATGTTTATCTGCTCTCCCATTGGACAGCACGTATCTTAAAGGGACAGGAGTCATGTTTATCTGCTCTCCCATTGGACAGCATGTCTCTTAAAGGGACAGGAGTCGTGTCAGGGTCATCAAGACTTTGATTTAGTCTGGCCAAGTGTGAGCCCGGTTGATGACCCCCAGCATCTTTTATGCCCTTTAGCAATGCCAGTGTGACAGGGACCTAGGAAATTAACCAAATTGACTCAGATGAAAAGATAAATTGTGGTAACCTATGTTTTGCAAAATCAACATGAATTGAAAATGTAGCAGATGATTTGGGTTAGTAAAAAGTAAACACCTGCTCTTTGATTGCCAGGAACATGACGTCCTCCCTTTGAAAGAGCTTAGAGAGACGTGCCAGGTGAAGGGCGGCAATGAAGCAATAGGTGGCAAGGAATGAGTAGTCCCTTAGCAGTAGGACATTTACGGGTCTCCACTTCCTCTGCCAAGGCTCCCAGTACAGCAGAGATATTTTTACTGAGGTTTTTTACAGCCTCATGTTGAGAGAGCCACCGTGTGTCCTTTACTTGATAATAATGACAGATAAAACAGTTGTTTAAAAAAAATTAGTATAAATATTCAAATCTCAATTTATTTGAGGTTTAAAATATTTACCTTCACTTTCAGCTCACACACACCGAGAACCTCTGCAGCTGCCTTCAGAGAAGCAGAGCGGTTTGCACTATTCCTGAAGTACAGGTGGAGCTGTTACAAATGGTCTCTGAATGTTGCCATGTAAGGCACATCTTCTGATGCGTCCTTACAGACTAAAGCCAGCCTATGTGCAGCACAATGGACACTGAGGAGCCATGGCCATTCGTTGGACAGCTGTTTTGCAACCCCATTGTGTTTTCCTATTGAATACATTTGTTAATGAATTTAACAAGAAAGAAATATTCAAAATCCAGTTTAATTGAATACAAAAAACCTGTTTGACCTACCTGTCATAACTGCAGCGCCGTCAGTCCCTAATCCAAAGATTAAATGTACAGGGATGCCCTTCATCTGAATAATGTTTTTGAGAGCCAACACTATTGAATCTGCTTTCCCGTCAGTCAGGCAGATCAGATCCAGGAATTGGCTCCAGAGCTTCCCCTCTTGGTCCAAGTATGTCCATATGACAACATTTCATATATACATTTAAATTATCCCCTCAAACTATGTATTGAAATGTTATTAGTCGATGAAATGAAGGTAGAGAAGTTGCAGAATATAGAAATACCTCAAAATTATACTACATAAGTTAAAGGGGACCTACTGTAACATGCAAAATGCACTTTTGTACGTCTTTTATACATGAATATGTGTCCCCGGTGTTCCAGAGAACTCACCAAGTGTCAGAAAACACAACCCTCTCTATTTTCCTCCATACCCAAATCTCTAAAAAAGGGGCTGCAACGGATCTGATAAAAACTGATCCAGATTTGAACACTGTCCTGACGTCAGGACGGTGGCGCTACGGCTATTGGGCCAACTCCACCAATCAGGAGGAGACCACCGCGGCCATTGCCGTTCGAAAGCGCTGGAAACGCTGTAGTACATATGCCAGGCCAGTAGGTGGTGCTGTTCTCACTGAATCTGCCCCTGCACAAACAGAGCTATAAATTGTCAAATTGAGCAAAATGAGGCATGGCTAAAATGCATGATCTGTTTGGTATTTTGAAAAAAAAAAAGTATAAATATGCCTTATATAGGTATGGTCCTACACTATATTATTCAAATATAGCATGATAGGTCCACTTTAAATGCTTTGTAAATATAATAGGTTACTTTGAGCGACTGGCAATACATGTTTATTATCTGTCATTTTTATTAATTTTGCTATTTTAAAAATTACATTTAAAGAGGAATTACATGTTTACTGTATGATTTATTTTCTTCCAATAATTGGGAGAAAACTGATCTGAATGTAATACAACCCGAATGAGTGATACTCTTTATAACATTGAAATCCTTGATTCAAAATGTAGAAATTAAAACAGTGTTATTATTTTGTATTTAATTTAATATAATTTGTGTGTTTTTGCTCCCAGGAAAAAGACGGATGTCACGGAGAACCAACAACTGAAGAAGCCTCTAAAATCCGACCTGACAAACAACAAGGACTCAACAACTGTGTGACGCTGTGGGTGTGTGTGCGTGAATGTGTGTGTGTGTGTGTGTGTGTGTGTGTGTGTGTAGATTTATTAACATTACGCCAAAAAAAGGAACAGTGTTTGTTTTATTTAACTATCTATAAACCATGATTTAACAATTCCCTTTGTATTAGGTTTTATTGTTCAGCTCTTACACAGAATTATTATATTTTGCTTATTATATTTTTTCCACCACAGGAAATAAAACACGTCTTTTAAAACCAATAACCCCCGACTACAAACTCTGTTGGAGCAGAACAGTACGAACATGTTAAAGTATCTTAAAAAAGCACGATGAAAAGTCACTTTTTGTGCGACCGATGCTGTTGTTGTTGTTCAGTATTTGCTGGATGTTCTTTAGTTGGCTTTGATGGTTGTGTCGATCCAGTCCACAAACTTGGAGACTCGGGCGTAGACGCCGGGCTTCATGGCGTTGGCACAGCCGAGACCCCAGGAGGTGACGCCCTGCAGGATGTACCGGTTCTGAGAGTGACACACCAGGGGGCCGCCGCTGTCACCCTGCAGGTGCGGGGGGGGGGGGGGGGGGGGAAATATCTATTTAACGGCTGTAAAACATGGTGATAAACACGCTACATATAACATTACCATTTGTATACAAATATATATACATTTGGATTAACTTTAATCTCAGAGAACAATTACGTTTTTAGTGTAAAGTTACATTTTAAATCTTAGTTATTTTCTTGTAAATTAACATAACTGTATAACATTATTAAAAAGACAGCTATGCACAACACTAAATTGATTCCCATGTGTTTTTTGTTTTGTTTTCAATCATACCTGGCAGCTGTCAGTCCCCCCCTCGATGTTTCCGGCACACATCTCGTGATCTTTGACTCGACCGTTCAGGTATGAGGGACGGTTACAGATCTTATTCTCGATCACAGGGAAACCCGTTTCCTTCAGAATGCCCTCACCCCCCGTCCCTGAAACACACACACACACACACACACACACACACACACACACACACACACACACACACACACACACACACACACACACACACACACACACACACACACACACACACACACACACACACACACACACACACACACACACACACACACACACACACACTCTATAGTTTGTCTGATAACAACTTTGGCATAATTTCCTTCAAAACTGACGATGAAAAGGCTGTAAAAAGATTTTGGATATCAGTCTTTGTATTAAATAATCTGAAGAGCAAACTTGGAGAGAATCACTGGAACTTTTAATTTAATTTTTGGAGCATTTTCTCTTATTTAGTTTAGACTTAAGGCAATAAAAGTATCATAATAAGTGAGGAATCCTTGTTTTTTTACGATAGTAAGGACGTTATTTACATTAAACATTCACTCCCGGTCAACCAAAACGTCCCTCTCTTTGCAAACAACCTATTTTCTAACTTACTAAAAGACATCACAGCATAAAAACGTTTAAATACACTTTAGCAGTACCTTGAGTTTCTCCCCATCCGGTCACATAGCACTCGGTTCCACTGGGAACGACGAAGTCCTTCTCTGGCAGACACACCGGCAGCACTTTGTCATTCATTATTGCAGGGCTGAAAACACACAGGAGCACAGGAGGAAGAAGTGAAACATAGCAATAAATTATAGTGTCCGCCCAAAAATAAACCACCCTTGAATGATGGGATAGTAGACTAAAAGCTTTAGGAATCCAAACTATAATATATAATAAGTACCCTGTATCAAGATTGATGCAAAACAAGTGACATTTGACCTTTTTAGAGAGGTTTAGCTAAATAAAAACACCTCTGGGACCATTTGGGTGGAAATGGGTGTATTTGCCGTTTCTCTGGAACCCATTGGTCGATTTTGATGATTGACATCTCTTTTGAACCGTTAGAGCCGGTAATCGAAGGAGAAGTTCCACATACACACACACACACGTTACCATTGAGAAATGAGAGCTATGTGCACGCAGTTTGCCCAAAGCAAAACCTATCTTACGCTCTGAAATCTGAAAACTAGGTTTATTGCTGATGGATTATCAGAAATCATTTCAAAGTGACACAGACACATTGGATTAACCTATGGATTAACCTTCAGCAGGGTTTTTATCGTTTTAATGCCATTGAAGACAACTTTTGATCAGAAAACAACAAAGGTACAGTAAGACATATTGCCGTGTTGGCTACCTAATGCTACGTGGTGTGATGTCTTTGTTAGCTTCTCATGTCGCGAGTTCGGATCGGTCAGTAATGATACTAATACCTGTCGAATCTGTGGAATCCCAGTTTGCTAATCGATACCTTGTTTGTGCAGATACGATAAGTAATAAGGGTATTTTAACGTGAGTTAGCATTTTTCCGCTCAGGGCTAATTCAGAGCCTTTGTTATTACCCTTAAAGGGGACCTATCATGCAAAATGCACTTTTGTACGTCTTTTCTACATGAATATGTGTCCCCGGTGTTCCAGGGAACTCACCAAGTGTCAGAAAACACAACCCTCTCTATTTTCCTCCATACCCAAATCTCTAAAAAAGGGGCTGCAACGGATCTGAAAAAAACTGATCCAGATTTGAACACTGTCCTGACGTCAGGACAGTGGCGCTACGGCTATTGGGCCAACTCCACCAATCAGGAGGAGACAGACACGGCCATTGCCGTTCGAAAGCGCTGGAGACGCTGTAGTACATATGCCAGGCCTGTAGGTGGTGCTGTTCTCACTGAATCTGCCCTTGCAAATCCAGAGCTAAAAAATGTCAAATTGAGCAAAATGAGGCATGGCTAAAATGCATGATCTGTTTGGTATTTTGAAAAAAAAAAGTATAAATATGCCTTATATAGGTATGGTCCAACACTATATTATTCAAATATAGCATGATAGGTCCACTTTAAGTTTCGTTTTGCAATTTTTTTTTAATATTGTCTGATAGCTGAGTTTCTTCCCGTTAAGTGGGTATGACACATTAATAGGTTTTTAAATGTTAAGAAGCCCTCAGATGCTGTTTCTTGCAGATGTTGCCATTTTTCCCTTGCCCGCGGGGGAATGGGGCTTAACAGGTTCTTAAAGCATCAATGTGTATTATTGCCATAGCTGGTAAAGGGGGAGCTCATAACAACTACTTTGTAGTACGATATATATATACCTTTAAAGGTTTTCCTAAATTCATTGTTTTCTTTATTTATACTGTGAGTCAGAAATCTCTCTTATAGTAACACTTAAATAAATCAGACTTATCTGTTTCATTTCTATATTCTGAAGGTTTTTAATGAGGGGTTAGTTCAGATAAAGTTTAATTAACAATATTTTCTGATTGATGGACGGATAGAAAAATATATTCACTCTGCCAAACAATTAATTTTAATTGAAACAAACAAGGATGTTGAACCTAGCTTCAACCAATGTTCAGATTTCAGTTTTGGAAATATATTCAAACACATCTCAGAAAACACATCTCAGAAAACATATGGGTCAGGGTTTGGCCAATATCATAAAAATAGCTTCTCATTTCTGTATAAAGACCTTAAAAAGGTTCTGATTATTTAAAGATATTGTACTTGATAATCTGAGTTTGTATGATTATGCTTTATTCCACTTTTTCTGTAAGTGGCTTTGGTTGAAATCACAAGTTAAATGATATATAATCTAATGTTAAACACCACATTTGAGTAAATTAACATTCTAAGTAATGCTATAACTAGTATTATTAATTATTACGAGGGTAGACTCACGTCTGCAGCTTCAGCAGAGCGATGTCCGCTCCGTTGGGTCCGAGGATCAGTTTCTCCAGGTTCCTGTCCTGTTTGGACGCCTCGTTGGCTCGCTCTGTGTGAACGCCCAGCAGCACCTTATAGGCTGAAGGGCGCTTTGACCTGAACAACACATTGATAAACATTCAGTAATCCAATCATTGTGGGGTTGAAGGATTTAGTCCAAGGGTGTCCAAACTTTTTTCAAAAATATACGAAGAGCTGGGCCACTCACTACAGGTACATATATCGCCTCATAAGTTCAGTTATAAGTTAGCAAAATCAATCCAATGTAGATTCATTATTCTTGATACTTGAAAATGCTGTTAGAAGAAAACAGCGTACATCCCAGTTCTCCGTAGGGTTTATTTTGTTGGCAGCTCTTTCCTTAAAACAGAAACCTCAGATTGATTATCATGAGAGGAAATATGAAGGGTCTATTTCAAGGTTGTTATGTAATTAAGTTATTGGGCTTTTTTCTTATCAACTTAGATTTGTTAAAAGATGTTTTCAACTTTAATTGACTGAATTTATTTGAAAATTGGGCTTATCGACACATGAATACTGTAATATATTTGAACATATATATTTAAGAAGTACAATATAAGACAAGCAGAAGTTTATTATACTTAAGTCATTATACTTTTTGAATTAGCTGAGGGCCGATTCAAAATGGCCCCGGGCTGTAGTTTGGAAACCCCTGATTTAGTCTTTAAATATTTTTGAATATTGAATATTGAATGTTCTCTGACCTCTCAAGGCAGTGAGCAGCAGTCACAACCCACTGAGGGTGGACCAGAGTTCCTCCACAGAAATGAATTCCTGAGCTGTTAGAAAAAAAAAAATTCAGAATGGTGTTAAAGTAGGAAAAAGACAGATATAATATGGCCTTTTTTATATCAGATAATATAACACCCCTGTATGATTTTGTTGGTGGACACAAATACATGGATTTTTACAGACATTTTAAGTAAAAAGCACAAAATATAATACAAAGAAATGTGTTTAGTACTTAATTATATGAGCCAGAGATGACTGATAATACTGACGATTAGACCAGCTGTCGTATCAGCCAATCTTGATCATATCTTGCAAATGTCGTACATTAGTTTGAATAATACTTCAGTGTTGTTTTGACTCACCTGGTGCGGAGGCTGATCTGCCACGGCCAGGAGTGAGCTTTGGACACGCAGCCGCCCACGATCCGACCAAAACAACGCTTCGGTTTGGTGACCGGCGTCCCACAACTCATTCCAGCTGCAAAGAGAGAGTTTACAGTCAAGAATTCAAACAAGAGGACAACAATTTGGCAGCTTCATGTCACTGCATCCATTGGAAATTACTTATATATATAGACTGTTTATGTTAAGTTAAGAGGATTACTAAAATCAGTAAGATTCATCCTCTGCTTGTACCAAATTGAATGGCAATCTATCCAATATTATTCTTGATATGTTACTCTGGACAACTGATATTGTCATGGGTCAGAACACATAGGTATAGTAGTTACAATCTTGCTGTTATATTGTACACAAAAATATTGTTTACATACCACAGTCGGGGATCTGACAGTAGTCCCATTTCTTGTTCCTGTCAGTCGTGTAGCACCACGGTCCGTTCACATCTCCATCTGGGTTTCTGCAGCTCTAACAATGAAAAACAAAGAGGGAATCAATCAAATAGAAACACATTTTATGATTTATTTTTTTTAACCTTAAAGGTGGGGTAGGTAATTTTGGAGAAACCAGCTTGATTGCGCTATAATTTGAAAATACACAACCGGGAAAAATCTGCCACTTCCTTACAGAGCCCCTCCTCCAACACACACGAACGCGCACATGACCAATGAGGGCACGAGATAAGTTTGTGCACAGAAGGAAGGCTGACAGGCAGGTAGGCCATCCAGTTATTTTAGCCGGGCCGGCTAAAATGATTGGTCGTGCTTTTTACAGTACTACGGCTTCCACACAGATGACATTTTTTTAAGCACTTAAGATATTCATTGCTATCGGGATGTTAAGAGCATTCCATGGAATATAACAACAAGTGTATCTCGAGCCGGTTTCTCAAACTTACCTACCCCACCTTTAACACACACAAAAACACAAAAAAAGGTGGAAACAAAACTTGGTTGGTGATAAAAAGGTTTACATTACAGTTCATCCTGCATCCCTACTTACACAAGCATTTACATACTGCCATCTCCATACACACACACACACACACACACACACACACACACACACACACACACACACACACACACACACACACACACAGATTCCTATACCGGATCTCCTCTCTGGTGCACCCTGAAAACTCTGGCAGGAGCACTCATTCAAGGGTACTATGACTATGCTTGCACGTCATGGTACCATAGCACCTCCAAGGCGCTAAAAATAAAACTTCAAACATCGCAAAATAAACTGGTCAGACTACTGCTTGACCTTTCATCTAGAACCCACCTCACCTCTGCCCACTTTGACAACCTAGGATGGCTTAGAGTAGACGACAGAGTACAGCTACTTGCAATGGGCCTGGTCTACAAGATCCACTACACCTCTATGGTACCCATGTACATGTCAAAATTCTTCCCAAAGGTCAAGGAATACCATGATCATAACACCAGAGGGAGCTCCACAAATCATGTAAAACCCAGATTTGGCACAAAAAAGGGGGAATACACGTTTCGCAATTATGCCACATCAAGGTGGAACGCTCTTCCCACAACTGTAAAGGAAAGTAAAACTATACTTACCTTCAAAACCTCTCTTAAAGAGCACCTTCGGGGGAGAGCATTGCAAAACTGGCCCCGGTAATGGTACAAATCACAACCTGTCGTACAATGGACAGCTTTCCCCCCCATCTATGTATATACTCGCATTTTAGACTCTGTTACTAACTGTATATCTGTAGACTTGGTATGTCTTAAATGTCCGGTTAGGATGTATTAGAACGAAATCTAAAATGAAAATTGTAAATAAGCCATCTGTATGTAAAAAACCACCTGTATGTAAATTGTAAATAAGCCATCTGTATGTCAAATATGTCTTATATGTCTTAAATGATATGATGAATTGGAAATGGGGGACCCTGATGTAAACAAGACGAAAGTCTTTCTCTGGTCTGCATCCCCTTAACAATTGTATGTTTTGAGCTGTACTGTACTGTACCCAATATACAAGCTGTTAATAAACTTTTCAATCAATCAATCAAACACACACACACACACACACACACACACACACACACACACACACACACACACACACACACACACACACACACACACACACACACACACACACACACACACACACACACACACACACACACACACACACACACACTTACATTTCCCTCCAGCCCTTTGGTGGGGTGTGTTTGTGGGGTGAAGCTGTTGTGTTGCTGGGGGCTCTGGGCTCTCCAGGCCTGGCAGGTCACTCCCAGCACGGTGATGGAGGTCACGCCCCGGTATGTGTCTCCCTTTCCTGTTTTACAGTCTGACCCAGCAACAAGCAGAGAATTAGGAATAAAAACAGGCTAAAGACGTGACAAACACAAGGTTCATTTGTATTTCCACATGTAGATTTTTTACTTTTTTAATGCTATTATATTTCTATTTGAGACATTTACATTTTGGATTGTTATGACATCATAAAGTGGCCAAAATCTGATCAGCTCATTTTCAGACAGGTTTTTATATAAATGGATCAGGACAAAAAGAGAGAGAATCTTTTTTCCTGAAACTTTCAGAGTCTCTTTCCACAGAGGGGACACATGTTGATGTAGAAGAGACATGAAAAAGTGGATTTTGCATAATAGGTGACCTGTAAAGCCTAATAATGTACCTTTCTGTGCGGAGTCCGGGGTGGGGACCAGAGGGTTTGAAGATTGGGTGGGAGTTGCTCCTCCTGAAGGTTTGTTGACGCATTTCTCCAGGTTGCAGTACTCCCAGCGGACACTAGGGTCTGTCGTGTAGCACCAGGGGGCCCGGTCCCCGTCAGGGTTCCTGCACAGATTCCTCCTCAGGTCCCTGTGGAAGAAGACCTGAGACCCTTAGTACAGCGAGCAACAACTGAACACACACACACACACACACACACACACACACACACACACACACACACACACACACACACACACACACATACACACACACACACACACACACACACACACACACACACACACACACACACACACACACACACACTCCACCCCTCAAAGACTGCAACCACTACTATTTAGAAATACTTATGGCTATTTTACCAATATATATTTAGACTGTACATATGCACATTTATATTGAATTGTATCTCGTTGCACTGTCATCGCTACTACCTCTGCTTTGCACTCTTGTTTATTTATTTATTGTGTCTATTTTTTACTGCAGTGAGAGTTGCCAAAGAAATGTTGTTGTACTTTGTATGATGACAATAAAGATAAGTTATATTCTATATTCTATTCTATTCATCCAGTATCCTATGAGGTTTTATATTTCACATACTACATTAAAACCAGGAAAGGAACTAAAGATCCATGTGGGTTTTTGTTTTTTATTTATACATATATATTGCATCTCTGTATAGTATGTGTATTCACTCTCTGTCCTGCACGCCTTGTTGGAGCTCCTGCCCCCCCCTCCTTGTGAGCCCATTGTGCTCTGATTGGTCAGCTCGCCCACTCTGTTCTGATGAGTCCACCACCATTACAGCGGAACATCCGTGATTATGTGTTACAATGGCGTTAGCAACCAGAAAATGACACCAGTAATGACAAACAGATGAGAATGCTGCGTGGGGTCTGGGTGCCGTGTTGGCGGGACGTTGCGGGGCTCGCTGCTCAGCCCTTTGAGGCTCGAGGAGCGGACAGTGTGAGCTGGATTACTTGTGTCGTTTCCTGGTGGCTGCGTGGGGTCTGCGAGACAGCGAGACAAATACCCCTTTCACACCAAGGCTTTTCCCCTTCTAGCTCCGTGCTAGAGCTTTTCTGGTTCAGAACCGGTTCTTCGGTTTAGCGCCGGCTCTTTTCACACCGCTCAGAGCCCGATTGGTGCTGCCGCTGCTGCGTCATGACGTCACAGTTTACGTCGCTGAGTTTCTCCCCAACGGAGCTCACCTCACAACAACGGGCCGGGGACTGTGTCGGGTCGATGATCGTGTTGCTTTTAATCATACGAAGCCAGATTAAATTAAATAACGACTTCTCCAACCTTATACTTTTCTCCAGAGTGCCGTGGTTCATTGTTTATTAATGTGTTTCAGCGGCATTTACCGACCGCTGCAGTGCTGACTGCTCTTCAACGGGAGTGTATTCTCCCGTTAGCTCCGGGTTAGCTCACACGGCTCTAAAGTATTCACTGTCTGACTGTCACACAAGCAGCTGTTACATATCCCCAGTTCCCCTTAAGTGAATGTGTGTCAGTCTGAATTGACGCTGTTTGGCATCACAACGCTGTTATGAAAGTTTCTCTGGTATAACATGGGTGATGTTAGCATAGCAACCGAAGCTAAACTGACTACTTGCTAAGCCGTTTTATACAGGCACTTTTTACCGGCGTATTTTTCATTATGATTCTACTTGTGATAGTCGGACATGACAACCTGTGCAGCCCATGTATTGATTCCATCCGATAGCTGCTATAATAACAAACAAAACGTCTGCCTGCTCTCCACAATGATCAATAACAGCGAACGGATGGTCAAAGTAAGGTACAAATAAACAGAATCACACGAAGCCTGGTTAGTGTTGCCTGACTTTATAAAGCGTGTTTTTTTTTTACAAGTGTGTGGTTGCGTTCTAGTCACTTTGCTCAGCACTACTGCTGGTTACAACTTTTATTTGCCGTACTCGCCTTAACTGTTATCTCAGGTTAATCTCGCCCCCCTCCGACGTAAGCGGTTCTTGCTTCTACACGGACAACTTTTTGGTGCTCGAAACGAACCGGATTCCGGAGCTTAGAGGCTGCTCCGCTGCGGTGTGAACAGGAAAACCTGGTGCTTTTCAAGCACCAGCACCGAACCAGCCCCGAAACACCGTTGGTGTGAATGGGGTAATTGAGGAGCTCAGCCTGAGCACACACACACACCCACAGCCTGTGTGTGTGTGTACTGAGCTCCGCGCAGCACCGCGGCTGATAAAAGATAAGGCTGAGTGAGTGTGTGTGTATGTGCGGAGCTCCGCGGATTGGTCCATTTGGACTTCGTTACGTCAATAGGACCCGGAAGGAAAAAATGAAAAAAGAAAAATCTCCAACGAGGCGTTCTGGGGCAGCATGGACACGTCTTTTCTGTGTTAGAGTTTTACTCGCTACAGGATGTACTTTGAGGGTTTGTGACTTTGCAGACCGTTTACATGCAGAAAAAGCTACATAACACACAAGGGGACGGGTAATAACCAGAAAAGCATGACATGGGACCTTTAAGCCACTCTTATTTGCACTTATATACAGTAAAAGCAAAACTTATATAGTCTGGCAATTGTGCTGCGATAATTAGCCAGGGTATACTATTTCATATTCACATAGGTCTAAATTCACAATAAAGAATAAGGCTGGCAGGAGCTGCTTTTTGATGCTCACGCTCAGTGGCGACTGGTCATTAGGGGCAGGTGGGGCACAGCCCCACCTAGTGTCAGCAGAAAGTATTACAAATAATGATTACAAAAAATGCAAAAAATAAATAAAAAAATATATAAAATATATTTTAAGATCATGTTTAATCATCTGATTCGTCTGTACATTGCTGTTTTAGTCTGTGTTCTTCTAATTAGTGTCTACAGTGTGTGCCTATTGAGCTTTATATATACAGTCTATGCTATTGAGCTGTTTAGAGCCATGTGGGACAAAACCTGATCATGCCCCTCCCTCTCACTGTCAAAGTGAACGGTGACTGTAAAAACGACACTGCGCATGCTCAGAGTATTTTCCTATTTAATGTGTGTGGCAAAAAAATAATGACCATAGGGGCACTGAGCTGCCATCCCCACCATACGTCATCTCACATAATTCAGAGCTGATTGGCTGTAAGTACGTGTGCCGCGAAAAGTGTGGTGTGTGAAGAGGAGACGAGAGAGCTGCAGTGACGCGTCCTAAAACCCGGAAGTAAGCTGCGCATGGCTTCCCTCGACAAAAAAGCAATGAGATTTCTCCATAGGATTTTAGAAAATAGCTCGAAATAAGATCTGTGGGAAACGTACCTGTTAGATAAATGCACGTTTTGTTCAGCCGGATAATATCCACATGTCTACCCTACTTTTATAATTTTTTAATCATAAATCTATCGATTAGATTTATGATAGACTTTTGAAACTACAAGAAGATAAGGAGGACTTTTACAAAAAAGTAATAGAAATGTTTGTCCAGAAGGATAGGCAAATGGACTTCATCTTCAAGTCAAGGTAAGACCGCAATTTTATTGAAAATGGGATCTTACTAAGAGAGAACAATTCAATATTTAAATGATAAAATTAAATTTTTTGGGTATCCTTTTGTTGAACTGTCTGTTTAAAATTAATCGAAGCATCAGACAAAAAAAGCTTTTGAAAATAATATTATATTTTGGTTTAGGTCAAAATATAATATTTGTAAACCTGAAGAGTCAGTGCCAGTGCCTCACCAGCCATGAACCTCACTGCACGTCACTGCAGAAGCTTATATATAGACATCTAAGTTGTTTGTGCCCCACCACTTTTGTACATATAAAAAGGCCACTGCTCACGCTTGGGGGAAGGCCTGTGGAGTTTTCTTGTGGCTGTGAGGCGTCATGGCGCTCCAGCGCTGACATCTTTTCCCGCTGATGCTCTCTGTCGTCACTCCTCTGTAACTCGTCCCGTCTCCCTCGTAACAATCCTCCTCCTCCACGGGGATCACTGGCTCATCTGCAGCGAGACACAGGAATACATTTTTATACAGCGTTTTGCATTTCTTAAAAGTCATTATTTCAATATTCCAGGCCCATTTGTTGGTTCTTTCTATCTGTCAGAGCACAGTTAGAAGTTGTGGTATTTGTGGTCATTATCAGAGGTGGGAAGTAGTGGAGTACAAATACTTCGTTACTGTACTTAAGTACATTTTTCTGGTATCAGTACTTTACTCCACTACTTATTTTTCTGAAGACGTTTTACTTTTACTTCTTACATTTTGAACACAAATACCTGTACTTTCTACTTCTTACATTTTGAACACAAATACCTGTACTTTCTACTTCTTACATTTTGAACACAAATACCTGTACTTTCTACTTCTTACATTTTGAACACAAATACCTGTACTTTTTACTTCTTACATGTTGAACACAAATACCTGTACTTTCTACTTCTTACATGTTGAACACAAATACCTGTACTTTCTACTTCTTACATTTTCCAAACAGGCTGGTTCCTTTAGTTTGAATGTGTGTTTGGTGGCGTGATCATTATTATTTAGAGTCATTGCGTGCCTATTGATTTGAACACGATCCGTGTATCCATCATTTCCTGGTCTTCTCTAAAGAAGAGGGACCAATGAAAACGTTGTCATGTTGCCGTTGTTCAGCATGGAAACATTCATTAGCTAACAATAACATTATTGTTCTATTAATATAAAGGGAGGTCAGGTACTCTTTAAAACAGCTGCTAGTTATGGGTACTTTTTACTGAAGTACATTTCAAAGCCCATACTTCTTTACTTTTACTTGAATAAAGAAGTTTAGTCAGTACTTCTACTTTTACCAGAGTATTTTTAAACACGAGTATCTGTACTTCTACTTGAGTAAAGGATGTGTGTACTTTTGCCGTCTCTGGTCATTATTAATATAATCATTAATGAGAGTTGTACCTGGTCCGGCTGCGTCTCCACAGCTCGGCACCTTGCAGTACTCCCAGCGGGTCTCAGTGTTGGTGGTGTAGCACCAGGGCATCCTCTCGTTGTCCGGGTTACGACAGTAGTTGCTATCCAGGCCTCTGACGGGGAAAAAAACGTTAACGGTAACTAACTAAAACAATAAAATATATTTTAGAAAAAGTAATAATAGCACAGTATAAATAATCTTTAAGTCTGGCATTAAAAATTGTAGTATTAGTAGTACTGTAGTAAGTATAAATCTATATTCAAATAAACTAAAAATAATAAAACTAAAGAAGTCATTATGCAGAATGGAGATTTTTGGGGGAAAAAAGTATTATTATTTCACTGGATTATAATTAATAAAATTACCAAAAGAAGTTTAAATATTAATAATAAAATAAAAAATATGTAAAAATACTTTAATACGTTAATACGTTAATATATGATGTATTTGTTCTTACTTGCAGGGGTAGTTGTCTGGGGAGCGGTTGTGTTTCCATGGAGTCTGAACAGACCAGCTCTGGCACTGTTTCCCGGACTCGGTCACTGAGATGGTGCCGCGGTACAACTCTCCCTCCCCGGTGGCGCAGCTCAGCTCCGGGACGATGGTGGGGGGCTCGGACGCTGAAAATAGGAAGTTCAGTTATAGATCTCACAGGGGAACAAACAACCTAAGTTATGGCAGTGTTTTTAATAATGCCAAATTACCAGAGGTGGGAAGTAGTGTAGTACAAATACTTTGTTACTGTACTTAAAGGTGGGGTAGGTAAGTTTGAGAAACCAGCTCGAGATACACTTTTTGTTATATTCCATGGAATGCTCTTAACATCCCGATAGCAATGAATATCTTAAGTGCTTTGACAAAAAATCCATTAAAAAATGTCATCTGTGGAAGCCGTAATACTGTAAAAAGCACGACCAATCATCTGAGCCGGCCCGGCTAAAATAACTGGATGGCCTACCTGCCTGTCAGCCTTCCATCTGTGCACAGACTTATCTCGTGCCCTCATTGGTCATGTGCGCGTTCGTGTGTGTTGGAGGAGGGGCTCTGTAAGGAAGTGGCAGATTTTCTCCGGTTGTGTATTTTCAAATTCTAGCGCACTCGAGCTGGTTTCTCCAAAATTACCTACCCTACCTTTAAGTACATTTTCTGGTATCAGTACTTTACTCCACTACTTATTTTCTGACGACTTTTAACTTTGACTTCTTACATTTTGAACCCAAATACCTGTACTTTCTACTTCTTACATTTTCCAAACAGTCTGGTTACTTTAGTTTGAATGTGTGTTTGGTGGCGTGATCATTATTATTTGGAGTCATTGCGTGCCTATTGATTTGAACACGATCCGTGTATCCATCATTTCCTGGTCTTCTCTAAAGAAGAGGGACCAATGAAAACGTTGTCATGTTGCCGTTGTTCAGCATGGAAACATTCATTAGCTAACAATGACATTATTGTTCTATTCATATAAAGGGAGGTCAGGTACTCTTTAAAACAGCTGCTAGTTATGGGTACTTTTTACTTAAGTACATTTCAAAGCCCATACTTCTTTACTTTTACTTGAGTAAAGAAGTTTAGTCAGTACTTCTACTTTCCAGAGTATTTTTAAACACGAGTATCTTTACTTCTACTTGAGTAAAGGATGTGTGAACTGTTGCCATCTCTGTTGATTACAATGAGACTTAAAACACTAAAGTGTGAAAAGAACAGGCGGGAAATCACAAAGGGGTGACATGTTTTTCAAAATAAACGGGAAACAGAAAGACAGACCATGACACAAACTCTCTTTTGTCAATAATCTACGATGAAAAGTGTTTCAGAAGGTACATTTTATAATAGTAGTTTAGTTTATGATTCTTTTTGTGTTTCTACCTAAAGTATATATTACAGACTATCATTGACATGTATACCTAACCTGATAATCAACAATTAGGGGATGTTGTATTATGCTGAAAGTCTTTAAGATGCAGGTTGAGCAACTCATACAACTACTACAGTATGTTTTACATTTTAATTGTGAAATATTCATATAAAAGTAATATATGAACAGTATAAACAGTTTATAATGGTATTTTCTCTTGTTCCTCAGGTTGCAGAGTGGGGTCAGCGACTAAACACCTTGCTCAATGGCACCTCAACATGTCAAAGGGTGAGTTTAACTATTTATATACATTTCTTAAAAGTTTGTATATGTGTTAAGCCATGTCAAATGTTAACAGAAGTCAAGGCAAATATTTGGACTTACTGCAGCGGGGAATGGAGCAGAAGTCCCAGCGTTTGGACGGGCTGGTGGTGAAGCACCAGGGTTTGGGGTCTCCATCCGGGTTCCTGCAGTAATTCTCCTCGAGATACTTCTCTGGAAGACTAGGAAAAGCATAAATCATCGAACAGTGAGAATATGTGTTAGGACAAAACATATTTGCTTTATTTCCTCAATGCATTTATTAACTAAAAGGGCATTTGGAGAACGGAGACATTAACTTATAATTATAATAAATATACAAAATGTTACAGCCAAAGATGCTAAGGCTACAGATCTTGCAATGGTAACAAGAAAATCATATCAAAATCAAAATACTTTATTTATCCCTGGGGGAAATGTATTGTTATCAAAGTTGCTTTATTTTAAATTAAGAAAATACAAAAACATGATAAAAAAATACTTATATACACAGAAATACTTAAAGGGGACCTATCATGCAAAATGTACTTTTGTACGTCTTTTATACATGAATATGTGTCCCCGGTGTTCCAGGGAACTCACCAAGTGTCAGAAAACACAACCCTCTCTATTTTCCTCCATACCCAAATCTCTAAAAAAGGGGCTGCAACGGATCTGATAAAAACTGATCCAGATTTGAACACTGTCCTGACGTCAGCGCTACGGCTATTGGGCCAACTCCACCAATCAGGAGGAGACAACCACGGCATTGCCGTTCGAAAGCGCTGGAGACGCTGTAGTACATATGCCAGACCTCTAGATGGTGCTGTTCTCACAGAATCAACCCTTGCAAAAACAGAGCTAACATTTTTCAAATTGAGCAAAATGAGGCATGGCTAAAATGCATGATCTGTTTGGTATTTTGAAAAAGAAAAAGTATAAATATGCCTTATATACTGTAGGTATGGTCCTACACTATATTATTCAAATATAGCATGATAGGTCCACTTTAAGTTTGTGCAACAGGCTTCATGCACGTATGGCCCGTTCTGCATCATAACAAACCAAATACCTCTCCTCTTTTTACACGAAGGTATATCTAATGAATCCTGCTTGTGGTGGATTGATAAATTGTTTTTGTTTGTGGTCTTACGCGCTGGGGTTGTAGCCGTGGTTGTGAGGTTTCTGAGAGTCCCAGCGTTGGCAGGTGTAGGCGTTTTCTGTCGTGGAGATTTTCCCTCTGTAGTTCTCACCACTGCAGTGAATACACTCCTCTGTAAAATAAAGCACATGCCCTTTTAGCCTATCACGTGCAATGTGTTGGAGCGCTAGCCAATAGCAGCGCGAGTGTTACAGAGTGACGTCATTGTGGTCCTGAAGGTAAGGTAAGTTAAGGTACGTTTATTTATATAGCACATTTTCAGGAGGCAATTCAAAGTGCTTTACATCGTCATTAACAGTTAATAATAAGACAACAGAAAGGAACACAATAAATAAACATAATGGAATAACAGATTCATAAAAAACATGCATAAAAGAGATACAGACTATTTTAAAAACAACATTGTAAATACAGTAGGTGCTAAAACAAGTTAAAAGGCTTCTGGGTAAGCAGCTGAAAAAAGTAACGTTTTTAGCCTGAAGAAAGCAAAGGAGTCCAATGGAGGCGTTTAAGTCAGGGGGGGGGATTCCATCTGGAGGGAATTTTAGCCTTTGCAGACCATTTACATGCACAAAAACCTTTATGCTGAAAAGCTGAAGCTAAACTGCTATGCTGAAATGTAATGTGTAAGAAGAAAGTGAAGAATTTAGATTGAAATGATACATGAACACTGGGGGCTTGAATGTGTGATGAGAAAAGGAAAGAGAGTAAAAAGGCTTGGAAAAGCAGCAGAATATTTGAACTGCAAACTTTTGAACTAACTTGATGGCGAATGATCTGTCGCCATGCCAACGGCATTTGATGACATCCCATAATACGCTTAGATGCGTTGATGGCTGCATCGTTACCAAACCTGTGAAGTTTTGGGCCGTTTTGAGCATCTTCACTGAAGTTTTGAGAAAACTGTGTTTCATGGCGAGCATTGTGTTGCCATGGCAATGGCATTTGAAGAAATCTCAAAACTGTCCCGTAGATGTCTTCACGGCTGGACTGTTAGCAGAGATGTGAAGTTTGAGCACTTTTTGAACATTTTCATAGGAGTTAATGTATAGCAACATCGTCTTTTATGGCGAGGGATGCGTTTCCATGGAAACGGCATATGATGACACCCCATAATTGACGTAGAGCTGTTGAGGGCTGGACCATTAACCATTATCTGAAGTCTGCTGCTCTGAGCATGTCAGTTGGAGTTATGACATCATCGTGTTCCATGACACAGGTGTTTATATTTGAGCTAACGACATGTCCAGAGATCAAAGGTTTCCATGGTGATCAGTGAGAGGAGAGCATTTTCATTGTTCTGAATGAGAGATAAACCTCTTACATGTGAACGTTTTGTTGAAGAACCGTAACAGATATCGGTGAAATCTCAAAGCGTGAAGCATGTCAAGGAACTTGAGCATCTGAAGTGTACTTTTTGTGTACTTTCGGGTTAATAATGTGGCCTTTTTGGTAGATGAACTAAAGGTGTGTGGCTGCTGTGGTGGGGATCGATGAGGCTAAACTTACAATGGGCTTTAATGGAGACATGTTGAACGTTTTTGTCACTTCATGCCAGAGGTGGGGACTCGAGTCACATGACTTGACTCGAGTCAGACTCGAGTCGCATATTTTTTGACTTGAGACTTGCTTGACTAACATTGATAAAAGACTTGACTTGACTTTGACTTGGTATTCATGACTTGAGACTTGACTTAAGCTTGAGACAGATGACTTGAAAGGACTTGACTGTTTAAAATTAAATATTTGCGTTTGTTTTTGTAGTGAGATATTACGTTTAGTTTTTTCGAAAAACGTGATTGGGCAACCCACTAGACGGCAGGAGTATCAGTTAACATGGCAGCGGCTAGCGTTACTCCAAAAATAGTGAAGTTTGGATTCAAGGATTATGTTGTCGATGACGCTAATAAGAAGAGAACAGCGGTATGCAGGGTCTGCAGCATAAAGATCAGTGACACGACCACCACAACATCCAACTTCATTCGTCACTACAACAAAACCCACAGAGAAAGGTGCGTGAATGTGTTGTGTTAGCTAGAAAGCTAACGTTAAGTTTAAGCTACGTTAGACTTGGTTTCAAATCGATTAAGCATTACAAAGAGAAGACAAAACGGTAAATGAACACTAGAACCACCAAGGGATTCATTTTGACTAACCCTGATACTGACGGGCTGTCAGGAGAGGGAGAGAGAGAGAGAGAGGAAAAGAGATGCCTCGTTTATTTCCCCTGTGTTATTATCAGAAGTTACTGTAAACTGTTGAATAATGTAGTTCATCTACTTTTAGTAGTTTGTTTAAATGTTTTAATTATGTTGTTTTTGTTTGTAGAAGTGCATCATTCCTTGATTTATTGTAAAATGAATCTGAACTTTTTGATCTGTTATGATGAAGCAATTTCTAAATTAACCCAATTAAGTGAGTTTTAAATCGTCCTACTTAGTTTATAAGGAAATTATGAAGTGGAACAAATTAAATGATTTGAAAATGATATCTATGTAGGTGCTGACGCTGTTGGCGGTTCTAGTGTTAACAGACATTTAAATTAAATATGTGTAATGGCAAATGCCATATATGATTTTCTTACCTGGAATTCTGCCTTTTTGAACAGACTTTTTGATTGGGTCCTAGCTATATTGTCTGCAGTTCTAGGGTTAATATGAATCTAATATGATTGTCATCGGTCTAAATTAGATTTCAAATGATTAACTGTGTATGTAATGAAGATCATAGTGTGGGTTGAATCCATTTTCATAACCACTGTCTTTTAACTGATTTAAATGCGGAAACTGGGCTTATTCATCAGAATTTTGTATGACTTGACTTGACTTGCTTGACCTGAGCAATGACTTGACTTGACTTGCTTGACTCTCACCACAGTGACTTGGGACTTGCTTGATACTTGTAGGTCAAGACTTGAGACTTGCTCATGACTTGCACATGTAGGACTTACTCCCACCTCTGCTGCATGCCCTCAAGAGGCATTTTGTTTAATTTATTTGCTTAATTTTTTTTAACTTTTCAAGCTACGAGATTTTTTATTTTAATTATGTCTCAGGAATGTAGGATTTGGGAATTATGGCAGGTTTAAAAGAAAAATATGAAGGCAAAATTAAATCTGTCCTCGACTCTAGCTGTGACATCACGCACTCTAAAATCTGAAGAAGGCCTCTTTACCAAGGTCTGAACAATGTTTAATATCTCTAAAAGTACGAATCAGATTTAAAAGTTGTGTTAGACGAATAATGTCAGAAAGATGTGTAACATTTTAAAGTTGGAATGAGGTTTCTGAGTGAAAGTATGAATGAGCAGTTAGCAGTTGAAGTCGACACATGGTTATGTATAAGAGATATGAACAAGTGGATTTTGCATAATAGGTGACCTTTAAAAGTTGACTACAAGCTCCTTTAAAATGTACTTATGAACATTACTTGAGTATATGTACTTCACTTTCCAACACTGGAAATGACCCAAAAACACACGTAATAAATGTTTTTTACCGGTGCAGCTGGGCACGTCGCAGTTTTCCCAGCGGGTGTTGGAGTCGGTGGTGTAGCACCAGGGTCCGCCGCTGTCTGCGTCCGGGTTTCTGCAGAAGTTTGACTCTAAGTCTGCTCTGGGATGCTCACTCGGTGTGAAGCTGCACACACACATTGAGAGAAATCATAGTAACTTAAATAGATAGATAGATGGATAGATAGATGGATAGATAGATAGATAGATAGATAGATAGATAGATAGATAGATAGATAGATAGATAGATAGATAGATAGATAGATAGATAGATAGATAGATAGATAGATAGATAGATAGATAGATAGATAGATAGATAGATAGATAGATAGATAGATAGATAGATGGATAGATGGATAGATAGATAGATAGATAGATAGATAGATAGATAGATAGATAGACAGACAGACAGACAGACAGACAGACAGACAGACAGACAGACAGACAGACAGACAGACAGACAGACAGACAGACAGACAGACAGACAGACAGACAGACAGACAGACAGACAGACAGATAGATAGATAGATAGATAGATAGATAGATAGATAGATAGATAGATAGATAGATAGATAGATAGATAGATAGATAGATAGATAGGTACTTTATTGATCCCAATTTGGGAAATGTTTGCGTTGCAGCAGCATAAAAAAAAAGCAAGGCAATGTACATAAGAGAAATTAAGACACAAGAAATGAACAGTCCAAAATATTTCTGAAATAGAAAACATCCACAAATATATACGTGGATGTGGAAAATATACATGTGGAAATACAACTTTCCAGTAACAAATATAATGCAGATAGATCACATGTATAAAGATATAATGTGAAATGATGTGTAAAGTAAGATTGTGAGTACGTACTTGGGCCTGTGCGGGTATTTAGCGTCCCATCTCTGGCAGATCTTTCCTGTTTTTGATTTGCTTTTCGTTCCTCTGTAATCTGTTCCTATTCCATTAACACACTCCTGGAGGTATACTGCACGAGACAGAAACAACAACACACACATCGTTATTCAATACATGAAAGGATTGTGTAGTGCGCTGTAGAGTACACTATTCTCTGAGTGAATCATTGATCTGATCCCACTCAATTGATGTTTTTATCCCCAGAATTCAAAGTATTCACAGTAGTGTTAATCTGCTCAGTGTTTGCAGACAGTCCAAACATCACTGATCACGCAACATACGGGCTAAACATTAACCATCAGTGTTTGGAGGGTTACTTTTCAAATGAAATAGGTCAAAAGGTACCCTTAACATGGAAATAATTCATGTTGATAAGCTGATTGATAAGCTAAACATTTATACATTTAAACCAGACACTTTATATCGCACAACTCGATTGATAAATGTTTTTTTACTATAACTTAAAGGGGACCTATCATGCTATATTTGAATAATATAGTGTAGGACCATACCTATATAAGGCATATTTATACTTTTTTTTTTTCAAAATACCAAACAGATCATGCATTTTAGCCATGCCTCATTTTGCTCAATTTGACAATTTCTAGCTCTGGGCAGATTCTGTGAGAACAGCACCATCTACTGGCCTGGCATATGTACTACAGCGTCTCCAGCGCTTTCGAACGGCAATGGCCGTGGCTGTCTCCTCCTGATTGGTGGAGTTGGCCCAATAGCCGTAGCGCCACCGTCCTGACGTCAGGACAGTGTTCAAATCTGGATCAGTTTTTATCAGATCCATTGCAGCCCCTTTTTTAGAGATTTGGGTATGGAGGAAAATAGAGAGGGTTGTGTTTTCTGACACTTGGTGAGTTCCCTGGAACACCGGGGACACATATTCATGTATAAAAGACGTACAAAAGTGCATTTTGCATGATAGGTCCCCTTTAAATTACTGTATAATTAGAACAGAGCACAAAAATCAATGTTATAATGTACTGTACATTTTCTCAGTAATTCGAACTGATGACCATTTATTTTTATTTTTTTTCATTAATTTATTCATATATTTATTTATTTTTTCTCACTTACTAGTCCTAATTACAAATACATTTATTATATTTATTTATTCAATATTTCTTTATTTTTTCTATTCATTTATTTGTTATTTTTTTATTTATGTACTTATTTAATTGTAATAAGAACCCGGACCCATTTCTACTTTTGGGAAAATTAAGGGGAACCTAATTTAGACTAAATAGACCACCTAGAACACATTTCTGACAAGTAACCCCCCCTAGTGTCACATATCTGAAATGTGACATATATGTCATATAACATATGAACTAAATATAATTGAATCAGCTAAATTAACTGAGCAGATCATAATCATATTTCTAATTGTGCACATTATATGTCACTTTGGGTTTACTGTGAAAGTTTAGGGTTAAAGTCCCGATGTGACACAGCGATATTTATCTCATTTGTTTCATATCAATTTGATCAAGAAATGTTTCCACAACAGGTTAAATGTAATAAAGCACATTTTATGTAAGCATTTTCATTCTTAAATGGCTTGAATTTTACCTTTAGCAACCAAAAAAAAAGCTTTTGAAATGTAGCTCGTTCTGTCACATGTGTTAGACATGGACACATGGACATGGACACATGGACATCTTGGACATGTTGTCATGGGAACACAAGATCACATGACCTGGCCCAGGACCCCCCAGACTGTTCAGGGTGTGTCACCTAGGGACTCCATGAGATACAATTACGGCTAAAACTGTATAAGGAACTTTCCAGAACATTTAAAGGTCATGTGACACCCATGTCACGTGGGTCCTTATGGTTAATAAGTCATTCTATTACATGTGATAAAAGAAAAAGTAAAGAAAAGAAAACTAAATTAAATTGAATCAAATTAAATACAACAAAAATTATATAATAATAATAAATATATAATAAATATATAAATAAAATAAAATGTAAATAAAAAAATACAAATAAAACACACATATTATAACAGAAATTATAAAATGTCCTACCTTTTTTTTCGTATAACGCAGCGCTGCTTCTGCGCAGGATCATCTCTGTTTTAGAGTTAGCTGCAGCTGTCCAGCAGTCCTGATCCTTCTCAATGTACAGGAAGGATCTGAGGAAACACACAGGAAGCTCAGAGTTAAACGTAAAAGATAAATGGTGAAATGGATTTTAAAGAGAGTGAACTTACCTGCATGTCCAGATCGTTTCAGCGTCACATTTGGCGGCACACTCGGCCACAGTGTTTACTGAGTATTGTGTTTTCTGCAGAGAGAGAATCCACGCTCCCTCAGTTTTAGTGTAGCTGTCCGTCTCGTTGCCGCTCGCTGACATCAGACACAGGAATATTCACTCATTAAGTTTCAGATATAAAGACCATTAAACATCAATTAGGTCATCCAAGCTAATCCAGTTTCAGTATGAGGTAAAACAGCAGTAAATGTTTAAAAAAAAAGAAGAGATAACAAGGTTGATAATCGACATCGTTAATATAGATAGAGTCGGAGGGATGAACCCCTCTGTAATGGTCACACATGCAGAGCACACAGCACACAGTGACATGTGTTCTCTGCATTTAACCCATCCTAGTACCAGGAGTCTAGTACCAGGAGTCTAGTACTAGGAGCAGTGGGCAGCTATTGTACAGCGCCCGGGGAGCAATGGGAGTGAGGGGGGAAGAGAGGTGTCCGGTGCCTTGCTCAAGGGCACCACGGCAGGGCAGGAGGTGAACTGGGACCTCTCCAAGTAGAAGTCCACACTCCATATTTAGGTCTGGTCGGGGACTTGAACCAGCGACCCTACAGCTTCCAGTCCAAGCCCCTACTGACTGAGCCACTGCCGTTAATATACAGTACGAGTGGTGTTGGTATTGGATAAATAAAAATTACCCCATTCAACAAACATTTTCAAATTTGAATAAATCAAGTAATAATAATAATAATAATAATAATAATATAAATAATAATAACAATTTAAAAAATGATGATGATGATAATATTAATTATTAAAATAAATACAATTTTAAAAGTAATACGACATATCTTTATATAATTATTATAAAAATGATAACAAATCACCACGTATAGAACACAAAATATAGCCAGGACACTAAGCATTTTAAGATGAATTAAAGGGTTAAAGAAAAAAGACATATGTATATAAGATACACATACTGTAGCTACTGTACAAATAAACATGCATTCTTAACGGTATACAGTATACTATCCAAAAGTAAGTGATATTAAAATATTAATTTAGTTATTATTATTTAATAATTACGTTTTTTCGCCTTTTAGGAAGTCATATGGTTCCAAAGCAAAAACTTAAATCCTTTATAAGATGAAATGTCTTTGTTTATAAAGTTGAGTCATCGAACTTTGTGCCGGGAAAACCCAGTGTTGACTAATTGGACTGAAATGTCCAATATTGTGCTAACGTTGAGTCATAGAAAGCAAATACACAACACAGTCAGAACAGAAAACACGTCACGGTATCTTAAAGGTCCCCTATTATACTGTTTTTCATCAATATATTATAGGTCTCAGAAATATACAGAGCCTGTCTCTGATTGGCTGAAACACCAAACAGATCATTGCAGCATCCCATAATCCCCTCTGTTTCAGCCCTGTTTCCAAAGTGCTGATTCTCTGTCTGTTACTTTAGATGAAAATAAGGAGCCCCTCCCCACGCCCCTCTGAGAGAGATTTGGTGACAAAGAACACAATGGTGCTCTAGGAGGAGATTCAGGTGATAAGGTGGGGGGGGGTTACCTTGGTTGCTGATTGGCTAATGGTTACACAAGACAAAACAATCGTTATGACATCATAAAGTGGCCAAAATCTGATCAGCTCATTTTCAGACAGGTTTTTATAGAAATGGATCAGGACAAAAAGAGAGAGAATCTTTGTTCCTGAAACTTTCAGAATCTCTTTCCACAGAGGGGACACATGTTGATGTAGAAGAGACATGAAGAAGAGGGGACACATGTTGATGTAGAAGAGACATGAAGAAGAGGGGACACATGTTGATGTAGAAGAGACATGAAGAAGAGGGGACACATGCTGATGTAGAAGAGACATGAAGAAGAGGGGACACATGTTGATGTAGAAGAGACATGAACAAGTGGATTTTGCATAATAGGTGACCTTTCAAGTATTCTTAAAATGCAAATTATCAAGGTTAGTACATTGAATGTGTAATCAACTACAGTATTTGAGTTTGATTCCATGACTGTGTGTAGGAGACACATTAATTAAATTAGACATATCCCATTCAGGAAAACCACATGATTAAATAATTGCATATATTATAACTATATTATCATATATTATGTACATGTAGATGCAACAATCTGGTGCATCTCATTTGAAGTACATGAGCCACTGTCAATATCTATAACTGTAATGATTTAGTCCTCAATTTCAATGAAATACCAGTTAAATGAAACCACATTTTTTGAAAACCAACACAAAAATTCCTTATGTTGATATGTTTGGCCAGTGGTTAGTCTCAGTGATCACAATTCCAGATTTAATTTGAAAAAAATGCGATTGTTTTCGACGATTTGGTAATAGTTGATGTTCAAATTGTCTGGTATTTTAATGAGAATTCTGAGAGGTAAATAAAAAAATTGTGATTTTATTTTATTAGATCAACTCTGGGTCCACATGAATGACAGTATTTGCCTTTGAGTCACTTATTTATAGGTAAACTAAGCAAATAAAACACATTTATTTAGCGCTTCTCACAGACATTACGTTTTTTAGATCATTTTCAAACTGTTTTTTTGTCCCATTCCTTGAAAACTAGGTAAAGATCATGTGTCAAAGTGAACACATGATCTTTTATGTGCTTCTAGATTTGTCTCTTTCTAGATTCAAGATTATCATTCGAATCAAAAATAATTACTGCGTATTTTGGCCAAAGATCATTTTAATTCCCAGGGACTTCCAACATTGTATCATACAATATACTTAAGACATAAAACTAAACAAAATGGCGCAAGACAATGGTGCAAGGGACACAAATGGTGTGAGTAAAATGCAGAAATGTTTTCATTAAATTATAAAAATAGTATTAAAAGACACATTTAATCAACTTGGACACATTTTCCTAATGAGTTCATCTCAAATAGGGCGAAATATCATCTTATTGTCTGTTTTTTTACATATATAACAGCATTTATATCGTTTTTTAACCTTAATTATCATTCAAAGATGCCTTTATATCTTACCAGTGCAGATCAGGGCTCCCAGGAGGAAAGCCACTTTACACAGGTCCATGTTGAGGCCTTTTTATTCTAGCAGTTCATATTCAACGAAGTCACCGAGGGTCCTCCTGGTGTGTTATTGGGCTCTCTTCAGGATGTCCTGAAAATAAATAGGACAGCTTAATCGCTAGTCAATCATTGGCCCGACAAGGACGGCAAAAGAGGTCAAAAACCTTCTTAAACTTAGATTTTTACAGCACTAAATGTTGCATATAAACCACATCTTTTCCGTTATATGTTATATTTATTAGGATAAACAAATGTAGCATGTTTTTTAATACTTACCCAAAGGCTTCTCAAGCAAATCTGTTTATTTTCTGCACCTTCAAAAGATTTTAGGAGATGAGCTTTGACCAATTTTTTGACATCATGTGACCCTTTATTTCTTATCATTAGGCCCATTTTCTCTCTATCACTTTACTGGAATGTGTGTCAAACCTAAGCATGTCCTTTGCTACGCTAATACTTCCATTATAACATAAACGGTTGCATGTTTATTTCAATTACGATGCGTATAAGTGTGTTATGATGTTATTATGTGACACACACTTTATTCCTTATTTTACTGGGGCATACTATGTGATCTACATCAAATGTGATCAATAGTTACAGTTAATCTTTAGCTAAAAGGGACCAAGGTCCTCAACTGCAAACATGTGATTACAAAACAACCAACGTTAGACAGTTCAGTGTTGAGAAATACTGATTAATACGGGAAATGTGTGCCTTAAAAACATCAATTTAACAAACATTTTGGGGTAGATTATGGATCAGGGTTTGACTGATGTCTATGCCTTATCAGTACTTTTTATTTTGATGATTTCAGTACATTTGGAAGAAGTATTTGATTGCAAGATATTAAAGTGGACGTATTATGCTATATTGGAAAAATATATTGTAGGGCCATGAGAAAACGCCATCCTGTTCTAAACCACATCAAGGATTATTTCTGAAACAGTATGGAGCTCAAATGCTTTTTCTCTTGCGGGTTTATCACAAGGTGAGTTCCTTTTTTTATTTCCTGCTTTTTAAACACATGTGCTCTCCAGTACAGGTTAGCTCTGAGTGTTAGCGAGGCTTGCTAATGTAAACAAAGACGAGATTACGTCCAAAGCCCGCCAGGCATTGTTTCTGATAGCAACTCTCTGTGGGTCCACCATCCGAAATTACGTTATATCGGCAGCAAATTCGCTCATTGTACCCCCGTTTTTAAAAGATTTGGGTATGGAGGAAAAGAGAAAGGGTTTTTATTTTCTGACGCTGCGTGAGTTCCCTGACACACCGGGAAAAGTGCATTTTGCATGATAGGTCCCCTTTAACATATTACTGTTTTCATATGTCTACTAAAAGAGAAAGCGCTGGATGCTTTTTCTAACAAGACACACATTATTTTTTTTACTGTTGATATATATATTTAGTGTTTGTTTACATGCTGCTGTAACAGAAACAAATATATAAAAAGAATATACATCAGAACTCATGTAATACCTAGTGATGACCTGCAGAGGGTGCTGTTGATGATCTGCATTTGAATGTGAGACTGAAAGGATAACCTGATGAAGTCAATGGGTTAATGTCAAGGATATTAAGTATAATGGAGTTATTGATAACAATACAATCACCTGTTCAGTGTCGCTGGAGGATTTGTGCACAATAGGCCGCGTTGATGAATGAAAATCACACAGCATGATACAATTCAAGGACTTTTTTTGAACAATAGCAAAATAATGTTTTATACCCACATTTGTTTTGCCTTTTTTTTTAATGTAACTTACTAATAGTCTATCTATTCAAAGCAAAAATGAAATGGAAAGCAGGCGTAAGAGGCACAAATAAAGTATGTTTCCAAATAAAATCACGCTTTCTTTCATCTTAAAGTACATTTTACCTCAAAACCAAGGAAAAAGGAGATGAAAACCAGTGTGTGTGTGTGTGTGTGTGTGTGTGTGTGTGTGTGTGTGTGTGTGGGTGTGTGTGTGTGTGTACTCAATCAATATGTTACATCCTTGAAACCGTCCCCTTTAGTTTGGATAACAGTTTAAAGTAATATTTTCAGAGGGTTGTTTAGAGAAATAATCGTTACTATGTTGCTCCTACTTTTTCGATAAAAGCCTGTTTTATTTTCCTTCAAGTTTTCAGAACCAAGGAGCAGACAAAAAAACGGGATTTTTCAATGTGAACTGAACAGGTTATGTATTGACAAACATAATAAAAGCATTTAGATCTTCGGTTTTTGTTTGAATATTTGCCCTTACCTTGAATTGATCTACAACATTACTAAATCAAAAATCCTTCAAAATGTACCTTTAATGGACTCTTAACAACTGAATGTAATATCTCCAGTCCCTAAACAAAAGCAGATGGATGTTCTGAGCAATAATCGTTGTTTTTTTTTCAGCGATGCTCCTACTTTCAGTGACAATTGTTTCAATAAGAGACTCGGTGTATTGTTTCTGTTCCATTTTACTGCAAGTTGAAGGTCAGTCTGTTGCTTTATACAGTGGTATCACGTCAATACTGCACACACAGGAGATGGCGGGCGAAAGGTGTGTGTGTGTGTGTGTGTGTGTGTGTGTGTGTGTGTGTGTGTGTGTGTGTGTGTGTGTGTGTGTGTGTGTGTGTGTGTGTGTGTGTGTGTGTGTGTGTGTGTGTGTGTGTGTGTTCAATCAATATCCCACCGTCAGACCTCAATTCAAAGACGTCCCGCTCTCTCTTTACAGGAGCTTTCAGCAGCTGCTTCGCTCAGAATAAAGGATATTTTTCCCCTTTGTGAAATGACGAAATATAATTGTATTTGTTAATTTACACATGCAGTATGTCACAGATGGATGTGCTTAAAAACATATATATTTATGTATTTATTTGTAGTCTTTCTTCACATGTATTCCTTTTTCTTTTTACCTTGTATTGCAGTTTTATGTTTTTTAAAGGTTTGTGTAATTATGCTGGTCAGAATTCCCTTGAATAAGCACATTTCAATTTCCAGAATTTCAAAGAAAGGTCAAATAAAAACAATGAATGTACTCACGCAGTATTATGCAGCTGGATGTGCTTGAAACCTCGATTTCAGTTCACTTTTTTTACTGCATTTTTAATAACTGTTTTATCTTTTTGCGATGGTTTGTGTAATTATGCTGCCGTTTTGGTCAGAATTTCCTTGAAAACCCTGTTTCTATTTCCATTATATTACAGCTGGATGTGCTTGAAACACGTATTTATTTGTACTCTTTTTACTTTTTCTATATATCTTTTATACTTTTTTAGTGGCTTGTTTAATTATGCTTCCTCTTTGGTTAGAATTCCCTTGAAAAACACAAATCGAATTCCACGTTTTGTAAGGAAAGGTCAAATAAAAACAATTCATTTATTTATTTATTACAGCTGGATGTGCTTGAAACATTCATATTTTTCCGCCATTTATCACAGTAGTCCCCAGAAAAATGTTTTTTAACAATTTCAGTACCCAACTACAGCTGCATGTGCTTGAATCTTTTTACAATTATGCTTTAATTTTTGCTAGAATCCCTCTGAAAAACACATTTCAGAAAATAGAAAGGTCAAACAAAACTCATTTAATTCATAAAAAAATCAGTAATTAAAGGTGGGGTAGGTACGTTTGAGAAACCGGCTTGAGATACACTTTTTGTTATATTCCATGGAATGCTCTTAACATCCTGATAGCAATGAATATCTGAAGTGCTTTGACAAAAAATCCATAAAAAAACGTCATCTGTGGAAGCCGTAGAGCTGTAAAAAGCACGACCAATCATTTTAGCCGGCCCGGCTAAAATAACTGGATGGCCTACCTGCCTGTCAGCCTTCCATCTGTGCACAAACTTATCTCATGCCCTCATTGGTCATGTGCGCGTTCGTGTGTGTTGGAGGAGGGGCTCTATAAGGAAGTGGCAGATTTTCTCCGGTTGTGTATTTTCAAATTCTAGCGATCTCGAGCCGGTTTCTCAAACTTACCTACCCCACCTTTAACTCTGTTTAGAGTAGATTACAGTTTAACGGGAAAAGGATTTGCATGAAAAAAATTAATGATCTGCTTAAAGTAAGCGTCATACTGTAATCTACTTTTCATACTCTCAGGTGTAGAAAAATAACATTTTTCAGAATCAAAAGCTGCATTTAAACAGAATGAAACAAAAATAATGGGGAAAAAATCTGCTATAATGACAAAAAACTAAACAAAATTGCAAGAATATACAGAAAATACAACCGAATACATAAACGCTGCAAGTCTTACAGATCAAACATCAAAAATAACTATACAATAGAGAATTTCAGAGCACAATAATGTGATAAACATGCTAGTTGTGACAGTCTTATTCTTAAGGATGTATAGCTAATATGAAGAAAAGCCTATTTTTATTTCACAAATAAAAAATGTGCTGTATGAGATAATGTGTTTAAAATCATGCAATCATATTGGTAATGAATATATAAACACTGCTAGCTAATTCTCTATCATCTAAGAACCACTGTCAACATATTCATCAGTTGTTAGATTCCCTGTATTTATTTCTAAATCTGCTTTTGTTTACTTAAACGCACGTGTCATTCCCCGTGCATGGTGCCAATGTGTCGGTAAAGTGTTGATGATCTTCATTCATTTTTATATACAGTATTGCAGTGTGACGGCCTGCTGTGGTAATCAATGTGAGGTTTTTCTTCTGACCAACAAACCGATCGAACCCCCAGAAACATGTCATGGTCACTTTGTATTATGGACAAGAAAAACCTAATTTATTTCTCCTTTCCGAATGTCAGCTCTTTGTGCGTTTTCAATTACAGACTCATTGGACAGAAGGCCTCCGCCAGATGGACGCAGAATGGTGGTACATTAGAGCCCACTATGGTAAATTGTGCAACACGTTAAAAACATTGTTCGTTAAATTGAAAGCATTTTTCTTTTGATTAAAACATTGCTTGAGTGACTTACCCTTGACTGGACCATTGTACGGCACTGTGGTTTTCGAAGGATGTGTGATTAAACACATGCCTCTTAAACTACACACAGTACAGGTATTTTATCCTCTGTGTACACATGGATTTTTACAACAGTTCCACATGGACGTGAAAAATAGAGTGAAA